TTCAAATCTAAAAGGTTTTGGGCCTCTTGGGATGGCATTTGTGTCAAGGAGAATGGGGCAGTGGTCAGAGATAGGTTTGGGTAGTGAAAAGGCTTGAGACCCCGAGAAGTGTTGATCCCAATCGGTAGAGAAGAGGAAACGGTCGGAGTTTAGAGCGGGAAGGGCTAGAAGAGTGGTTCGACCATGTGAATAAGCTGCCTTGGAGTCGGATGTCCTTGAGGGCATTCTTGTTAATGAAGTCCGCAAAATCCCTCATGTCCCGGGAAATGGAGGATGAGGTGTTACGTTCATGGGACCATCTGGTGACGTTGAAATCTTCTCCCAAACACCAAGAAGGATGAGGAAGAGCTACAACGTGGTCCAATTCAGCCCAAAAACTGTGTCTAAGGGAGGGAGAATTTGGGCCATAAACGGCCATGAATTTCCAAGGGGAATCATCAGAAAGGTGGAAAGGATGATAGTAACCGAGAAGTCTCCTACAAGAGAGGAGATGAGTTTATGTTCTTGCGGGTTTTAGATGACCCAAATGCCCCCTTGACGCTCCCGCAGCCGGTAGTGCCACCCACTGGGAAGGACTAAAACCCCAAATATGGTGGATGAGCTGCAAGTTTGGCTCAGGTTGTTTGGTTTCGATAAGGGTCAGAATTGAGGGGGAGTACTTGAGAGAAAGGTTTCTGACCGCGTTCTTCTTAGACTGGTGACCCAGTCCCCGAATATTCCAAGCAACAATCTTCATAGAGGGGAAGATGGGGATGGTGATAAGGTGAGTTTGGAAGACCTCCTAGGGAAGGAGAAAGAGAGAAAAGCAGAAGAGCCCCGGGAAGGCTTGTCCTGGAAAGAGGGGCAGGGGAAAAGGCTAAGAAGTTCTCTATGACCTTTGGGTCGTACCTTGAGTCTGCTGTGTGCGTTTGCTGTAATGAATTTGTGGCTTGGACCTACTGGGCCGTCATGGTGAAAGCCCATGATTCTGTACATCTCTTTCATCTTGTCATCGATGTTAGAGTTCTTGGCATCAGCTGCCTCAACTTTCCTTTGGCTAGGACCTTCTGGTATAGGTGGGGGATTGGGAATAGGCTGACTAGTGACACCAGGGGAGTCCCCGAGATGTTGTGGCTGCGGCTCATGGCTAAAAGTAGGATAGAGGTCAGGGGGTAAAGGAGGGAGTGGTTTGTGAGGTGAACCAAGAGCTGAAATGGGCTCAATCACCAGAGAAGTGGAGGAAATAAGGTTACCCCTCGTGTGAGAAAGGGGGAGGGTGTGGTCTACAGAGGGAGAGTCCAGAAGGGGGAGTGCTCTTGATAAGGGTAGGGGGGGTGAACCGGTAAGCTGAAAGCCTGTTGGGTGTCATAGTGGGAAGGCCAAGGAATGGGCGAAGAAGGAGAGGGAAGGTACGCAAGGTAATGGTAGGTCTGGACGGAGGAAAGGGTGGTGATAAGGGTGGAATGGTAAGAAGGTCCAGTGAAGGAGAGGTAAGGGGTCAACAAGGAGGAAAGGGAGTCAGTATCCGGGGGTGTGAGGTCCCAAGTTTGGGCGGTCACTAAGCCTTGGGGGAGGAGGTTATGGTCCATAGGGGAGAGATGAGAAAGTTCCACCGGGGTGTAGAGGCGGAGAGAAGTCAAGAAGGCAAAGAGGGAGATAGGTTAAGGAGGAAAGGGGGGGGGGGGGGGGGGAAGGGAGGAAGGGAACCGCTGTTTAGAGGGGGAAGAGGGGCATCACAGAGATGAAGGGGGAGTCTCAGCAAACCCTTGCTGAGAGAGAGAGGACGGGGTTAGTGGGAGAGGGGCAAAGGAGCAGGGGAGGGGTCAGCGAAGGAGTTGAGATAGCGGGGGGGACAGGCGAAGACAGGGAGTTGGTGGAGGCAGAAAACGGGGGCTGCTTTGGTGGCAGGTGAGTAGGGGGGGCTCGAGGAGGACAGGTGGCTGGGTGTGTCAGTCGAGGGAGAGGGGGGCGGAAGCAGGTGGGCGGGAGATTCTCGGGGAGGGAGGGAAAAAGGTGAGGAGGGCTGGTGAAAGGTGTCAGGCGACGCCGAACACTTTTGTGGGCTAGAAGGAGCACCGTGTGACGCGTGTACAGGGAGGGGGACGGCTGCCACGTGTGCCACGGAGGCACGTGAAAGGGGTGACTTGTCAAGGGGGCATAGGCGGGAGGAGGGGAGTTGGGATCTTTCAGAAAAGAAGTGCTCGGGTTGGGCATGGTTCTCGAGGAGAAAGGCAAGAGGTCCTTGCGGGCCTCTTTACTGGGTCGACGGGCGGTGGACAGGGGAGCAGAAAAGGGCGGGTTGAGGGTCTGGACAGTAGGAAGTGGGTCAGAGGGGGCTCGCCCTTGAGGAGAAGAGGACAGCAGAGGTGGTGGGGCTGGAGACAGGGCCGACAGAAGAGGCTGGACGGCTTTGAGGCTTTCATTGACGAGCGACCAAGGAGGAGTCCTTCGACTGCTTCTGCTCGGGTGAGATTTCTTCGTGACCAGAGTCCAAGAATTAGTCTCAGTGACCTTAGGTTTGGAGAGGGTGGCGTGGTGAAGGAAAGCAGGAGATGGAGGGGGGAGGCCAAAGACCAGTGGGTGGAGATAGGGAAGTAAAGGTCGGAGACTTTGAGCCATAAAGTTTTGGGAATCAAAAGGGGGTCCAAGACTTCCACCAGGGTTTTGATAGAGCCCAGAGGAAGGGTTTCAATCGAGATCCAATGGGTCGAGATAAAGGAGTCACAAGCAGCTGCAAGGCGGTGGAAAGTGCCTGGTGACCAGGCCTGGAGAGGGATATTGTTGAAGGTTAACCACACCCTTTGTTTCCTGAAAAACCCCTCCGACAGCGACCGAGGGCGAAGACGGCAACAGGCTCCATGAAAGGAGAAAGATTTAGAGTCTTGAAGAGCGAGATGAGCGCTACTCGAAGAGGGGAAGGAAAAAGGGATTTCGCCATTAGCAAGGCGACTGCAAGTGATGTTAGGTTCCCTCCAGTATTTTTGTGCAGCTCTTTCATTGCCTTTGGTGTTATGGTGCTCAAGTAGGAAGCGACCAATCAGGGAAGAGAACAGTTTAGTCGTGGCTTTTTCGACCTCTTTCCGGTCGATGGAGATACAGTAGGGGGAAATGGGGGCCATGCGAAAATGCATTTTCTTTGGGGGAGGGGAATGGACGGGGAGGGGGAAAAAACAGGCGGAGAGGAGGCTACAACCTGGGAAAAGGAGGGCTTAGGGGAGAGACGGGAGGAAGTTTGGGAAGAGGAAAACGAGGAGCTCAGCTTGGGGGAGAGGAAAGAGGAGGGCAGCGAGGTCTTGGGATAGAGCTTGTAGATATCGTTCCAGCAGGTAGGAAGGTGAGAGACGAGAGAGGGGGAACGCGAAGAGACTCTCATATTGAGAAGAGCATTGGTAGATCATTTGATACCAATGTTAGACACCATGAGTGCTCCAACATAGTGGAAACAACCACCTCTCTCTCTTCTTCCTACACCTTCATCTTTTAACCAAAGAAGGTGTAGGAAGAATTTATTATGACCGCGCGAGCAACGATATTCGTTTTGTCGAAGCGGATGGGAGCGGCCGAGCCACCCATAAGATCGATTCATTCTCCATAGTAGGACCCTAATGAGCAGTCGGATGAAATTCGACTTCCAATGAGTCCAGCCCGCTGAAATATATATCATCTCAATTATGTGTTGTTCATGACAAATGGTTGAGATGAATGTTCCTCCACCAAAGAAGGCATTGAGTGGATGGATGCTTCACATCAACCATCTCTGTCAACACTTGAGTCTTGAGGTGACATGTTGTTTACTGTTAGTGAGCTACAACATCTGTTGCATTTTTCCGAATATAGATAAGATCGGGGCTCAAATTTGAACATAAGACTGCTAAGTTGAGGGAAAACCATACCAGTTATACCTCTACTTGACAAAAAGTGAATCCTAGAAGAATATGTGCTATTGGGTGAGATTTTGCACAAAAGCATAACTCAAGGTCTCCACAAATATGTCAATTGTTCACTTCAAGAGAGTTGGGAGGATATGCCTGATACAAAGTAGATTCAAATGTCAGACCTTTAGAGAGCAAATCTTCAGAGCCCCATCTTAAACGATTTGGAAAAAGAACTAGTGAAAACATTCTGATCAATGCATTCAATTTTGAATCACACCTTGCAGTATGTATATTGTACATCATTAGAAGCCATGCAGTGAGGAAACAAATCGTAACTTAATTTGGAGTTCAAAGCCCACATATTTAACTGTACGTGCTCAGGTATGAACATATGGATTGGCTTATAATGATGATGCAGAAGGATCAGATTTCTGATTTTGCTGAAATATAAGCCCAGAAAGGGTTTCAATTTGTGTTATTAGTGTTTGAGACAAAAAGTCTTATGTTGGCCTTGTTATGATGTTCAAATTGAGATAAATTGTGCGGTGACATTGTTTATGCATTGTTGATATGGAGGGAGGAGGAAGGGAGGGATGGAGTTTAGATATGAAGGGGAATGTCATGAAAGATTACTTGATCAAATGGGTTGAAGTCTCACCTTCAGTTGTGCTTTACCTAGTTAGTTCATGGATGAGTCGTTTGTGATGTTTCTGAATGTTGTTTGTTGTGGTGTACGGATGCTTCTGGCATTTTCTTTGTAGGTTCCTTTTGTAGGGTCCGACATGAGTTGATTTGCATATAAATTTTTTTTAAAGTTTGATGGAATTCAATTTCCTTGTAGGTATCTGCCATTTATGTTGGTGGAAAGGAAGAAATTGTAACGAGTTATCCTCGTCAAACATTGATCCTTTAAAATATGTAATCTTTTAGCACGTACTCCTTTCTTGGGAGGGAACGAGAGTGTGGATTTTTTTGATTCTATGTCCTGAAGTGCTTCATTTTCGGGACTTGGTGTTTGCAATTTCTGTGCATAATCTAGTATCCTCATAGATGGAATTTTCCTCTCCCTATTCTTGTTCCTTTCAGAAAACTTAATTTATTGATTTTCTGTTTGTTATTTGTCTTTTCCTCTGTATTATTATGCAGGACCTGAGCCTATGGATATATCTACTTCCTTTCCTTCAACCTGCGAGATAGCCAGTTCTGACGTGACTATTTTAGAAGGACATACCTCCGAGGTTTGACTGTTGGCCCATTTCATGGATAGTTGGTTGATTTATCTTGATGGCCTACTAGTTGCTTTTCTCATGAGGTATTCCTCATATGCAGGTATTTGCTTGTGCCTGGAGTCCCACGGGATCACTTTTAGCGTCAGGGTGAGGAAATTTCTATCTTATTGCAGCCTTATGCTACTTCCTTGAAAATCTTATCTGTCTTCTTTCTTTTATAACTGCAACATGTGGTTGTGTTGTTGGTTAGAATTCTTTTTTTCTGCAGATCCTTTTCAGGAAATTTTGTTTACACTGATAGTTATCCTCAGAATCTTGCTTTATGTGTTTGTAATCACTTTTATACCTGGATCTTCCTGGGCTTCTATTATAATAAGAAAATGTGTTTTGCAGTTCAACTGTGAAAGAAATGCTCTTTGCGATTTGAACTCTCACACTTCTGTAATTAGATAATGTTACTGCAGAACATTCTATTCTATATGTATGGAAATGGTGACCACACAAATCATTGTGATTTCCTGTATTCTTTTTTAATATATAGAAAATGTAAACTGTCTTAATTTGACATCTAAGCATTGTGTTTTTGGCATTTAAAGCCGGAAATGATCTTTTGAGATTACATTGGTAAAAAACACTTCTCTGGCATGAATATTTTTCCCTGAAAACACTTATCTGGCATGAATATTTTTTCCTGATACATGTGACTCTACATATCCCAAGGGGTGTGTCATTTTCCATGGCTGATGAAGATGAGAACAACTTATTTTGAAAAAATTAGAAAGTTGAAAATGTTGGGAAGATTGGCAGATCCTAGTTTATTGCTCGCACGCTTAGAGTTGAGGAAAATGGCATTCTAAGTCATGAATTTGAAAGGAAATATGACACTTGCATACATGAATTGAATTTAGCAAAATAAAGGTGTGCCACGATTATTAATAGCATACTTAAAAGCAACAGATAATGTCATACCGAGTCATATGAATACAGGGAAACCTTTCCGAAACTTTTTTCACCATCCAGCAAGTGTGATTTTTTTTTTGATTGCTAATAGTGTGGCATATAGAAAGCCTCCAAACTCCAGGAGGAGATCTTTTGGTACCAACACTCAAGAATCCAATGGCTTAAGGAGGATTGGCACCCTCACAGAACAGCCAACTGTGGAAGAAGAAATAACTGCATTCTCCAAATAAAAAAGGAGGTGGAATGTTGGAAGAACAAGCAGACATTGCTTGAGTCATAACAAATTTCTTCAAAATGTTCTTCACAAGAGAGTATAGGACAAGGCCAGAGAGGGAAAGCATTCAATTCCAAACAATTTCAAAAGAAAGTAGAACTGGGCTCCAGGGTTTTTTTGTGAAATTAGAGGTCACGAGGGCCATACAGACCTGGGACACAACAAGAGCTGGGTGCAGATGGCTTCCCCCTTGCAATTTTTTTATCCATTTTGGGATGTTTTTGGGCCCTGATTTGTTGAGATGTTTGCAGAATTCCACAGTGGCCATATTATCCATTGAGGGATGAACTGCATGCTCGTTGCCCTAATACCAAAGAGGGAAGCGGCATATGAAAGCAATGATTTTGACCTGTTCTTTGGTAGCTGCATATGAAAGCAATGATTTTGACCTGATATCTTAATCAACAGCTCATATAGGATTCTGCCTTCAAAAAGGAAAGAAACAGCTTGTATAAGGTTGTAGCAAAGGTTCTTGCCACCCCCTGTGCGAAGTACTTGATCAGGTGTTATCTCCTCCACAGGGCACCCTTCTACAAAGATGACAAAATCTTAGATGGTGCCCCGATAGCACACAAGTGCTTCCATGCAAGACACCAATCCATCCATACAGGTCTAATTAGCTAAAACTAGACAAGGCCTAAGACCACGTAGATTGGGGATTTTGGACCAGTTGACCAGGCAATGAGTTTAATGGGCATTGACCCAAAATGGAGAGCATGAACGGATGGATTCACCTTCCCTTATCATTTCTTGATTTTGATCAATGGAATTCCCTATGCCTTCTTTCCCTCCTCTCGGGGTTTTGGTGAAGGGACCCCCTCCTGCCAATATGTCACGGTGTACCTCTGCACCCTTCAAAGTCCAGTCTTGCACCTGGCTAGGAGTCAATAAAATACTCGAGGGGATCCAAAAAAAGGAGCTTTTCATCACCTAGCAATTTTGTGATGTGTTGCGAAAAGAGGAGATCATCCCCCTACCTATCCCTACACTATAATATGGCCTCTTGAATTTGGTCTTTCTTACTTAAGCTTGGGTCACCTCTTCATCTGTCCAATACTTATTTTGATGCTATGTCTCAGCACAATTCATGGCCTTAAATATTATGCTTTGGCACCTATCTACATTGGCCGCGGTATGGGCCACTAAGCTAGATTGCAAAGATGGATATTTGATGAGGAACACGCCATGACTTCCATCATAGATCGCATTAAAGCGATAAGCATATTTTAGCGGCACACTTGCGAAGAGTTCAAAGCCTTTTCATCATTGTTTTAGATACCTAGTGGAAACATATCATTTGGTCATTGCCGCAATTTGTATCAAGATTATCTCAATGGCACCCTGCTATTTGTGGTGTCCCCAAACTAAACCCTGATTGGAGTTCCAGCGGAAGTCTTGGACATTTTAGTAGTGAGGGCATCTTTAGGAGTCATATTGGACTAACGTTTTTGACCTTAGAAGACCCTACATGTATTATGGACAGTACCCATTTGGAGACTTTAGCCCTACATACTGCCCTTCAATTGTTCAATTGATCCTGGGGCTCCAATTTGCAGGACACTCCCCAAAAATCCAAAATATCAAAAAATTCCCCAAAATAGAAAATACCCAAGATTCCCAAAAATCAAATTACTAGAGAGTTGTTTGCCCGTACTTTTACTTGTATGTTTTGATTTCTTTGACCGCAAATGGAAAGGCAAGACCCAAAGTAAACACAATGAAAAAAAAAAATAAACAACTTCAATTTGATTTTGTAAGTGCAAAAAAAAGAGAGTAGTACTTACAGAGGGGCTGAGTACTTGAATCTCCTAGACTGAAGTTTGGTTGATCATCTTATCTTCTACTTTATATGTTTTCCCGAAGTATGCCCACTCGATTACTTCAATTTTTACATGCTAAAGGAGGATTTCACGTCATGGTCTCCCGGGGGGATGTGGCCCCTCCTTGTTCTATATATAGATGAGAAGAGATGGCTCACCTCAATCCTTGTGTCGGTAAATCTCGCCAACAGGTTTATTTGCTTCATAAGATGTCTTTTTCTAGTCTAGTTCTTGTTCACTTGCCAAAGTTTCCCGCTTTGTTGTTTTAGGACTTATGATTTACTAGGGTGTCTCCTTGGTAATTTTATTCTTTTGGGATTTTTGAAGAATTTTTTGGTATGTTATATTTTTGGGGATTTTTTTGGATATTTTTCTATTTTTTGGTGGTATCCTTGGAACTTGAGGATTTGGTTAGGGGTAATTTGGGTAGAGAGATTTGTTCTCACTCTAGGCTAAGGCCCCTACACAAGATTTCTAGCTTTAAGCTTCCTAATCAAACTTTCTAACCCTTGGAAAATGAGGGTTGATGGGGTTATATAGCATGCCTAGGAAACATGGGTAGAAAATTGATTGTATGTCTCATTGGTGGGTGGATTATCAAAAGCTGGTTAGAGATTATGCAAAATGGACCATTTGAAGGGGTCCGAAGTTGAGAAATATCATGAATTTGCCCTTGGAGAGTTCTCTCATACCTTCATCCAATTCCTATTTGTTTGATGCTTTTTTCTTCTATTTCTTGCTCAATGTTTTTTCCAAAGTTTTGTATAGCAAGTTGTTATGATAATTTTTGCCACAAATTTGGGAAAAAGACTCCGAGATTTGAAGGAGTCACCATCAAATTTATGAATTTGGTGTCAAACTTGGAGAACTCCATGCCTCCTTTTGTGTTCCTTCTAATTTCACCCTTTATTGGCCATTATTTGACGATCCGTCACTACGAAACTGAGAGAAATCATCATTGAAGCATTTGAGAAGAAATTAGGATAAAAAACTCCAAGAATCAGGAGTTAGGATCAATGTATTGGCCACTTTTGCCAAGTTCAGTAGTCTTCATCTTTTGGGCAACTTCTCTGTACGAATGACCCCCAATTTGGTTTTAAACCCCCGAAAAAATTGTATAGATACTTAGGGGTTTAAGTGAAGATCGTTTCTACAAAATTTCAGCTCGAAATGCTTCACAGATTGTGAGATAAGAGTCGAAAAGTGGATCGACGTCGTGGAGATGCTATACAATAGCCCACTTTTAATCTCATACTATATTCCTCAATATAGCTATGATTCGTCGTGGGAATCCCATCAATAGTTATATGGATGGAAAGTTGTTTAAATGGAGAACAACATATCAAAATTTGAGTTTACTTGACCATGGGAATCATGAGATATGATCGAATCCTTGGTAGGAACAAAATTTGTCACTTACTGTAAATTACACATGAACTGGTAGTGCACACCCACAATATAGTCTTTTGCCTAAAAACTGTTGGTCCCTTGATGGTCTCGAAAGATTTTTCGAAAATGTCATTTACCGACATCAGATTAAGCTCAAATTTGGAACTTTAGCTTCTTTGGAGAATGCCTTTCTTACAAAACAAATTCAGCTCATTTGGACACAAATTTCTAGGGTTCTTTTGTAAATTTGGGGTCGTATTGGGCCTGGACTATACTTCTTGAGTGGCTTTTAACATTGTTAGCCCGTATCTTGGTCATCCGATATCGCAATGACCTGATAATTGGAGGATACCATTGGTGCACCTTGGATTAGAGTTAAAACCTTTAGATGATTGTTAGGAGAGGTTTGACCAAAGTTTGACTGTGGTCCTCTCCGAATTGTCTGTTCACTAGTTCGTCTATGCGATTAGCTCCAATCTTCATTTTTTCTTGACATTTACTTTTCGTCATTTGTGGGGTTCTACAAGATTGGGCCCAATCTACGACTGCTTTCACCAATTTTATCCAATTTCAGTGATTATTATGATTTTTTGACAATTAGCATGCCGGGTGCTTATTTTGCTGGTTGACCTTATGCATTTTGTTTGGTGGGCCAGCATTTTGGTTTATTCTTATATTTTCCATATGTGTAGGGAAAAAGTGGG